ATTTAAAAAATGGAAAATTTTGAAAAATCGGAAGACTAAAAAATCGAAAAATCGAAAAAAACAAAAAATTCAAATATCGAAATATTGAAAATTCCAAAGTTGAAAATCGATGAATCTAAAAAGTGGAAAAAAGACAAATTAAAAATCAAATGTTGGACACATAAAAAAAAATAAAAAATCAAAAATCAAAAATCTAACAGTCGAAAATTCGAAATATTGAAAAATCTAAACTGAAAAATTGAAATACCAATAATTTAAAAACTGAAAAATGAAAAATCGAAAAATTTAAAAGTAAAAGTTCGATAAATCGAAATATCCACAAATCGAAACATCAAAAAAGTGAAAAATCTAAAATTAAAATATTCAAAAAATCGAAAAATGCAGAAATCGAAACATGTAAAATTTAAAAAATTGGAAAATTTTGAAAAATCGGAAGACTAAAAAATCGAAAAAACGAAAAAAAAACAAAAAATTCAAAAATCGAAATATTGAAAATTCCAAAGTTGAAAAATCGAAAAACCAAGAACTTTGAAAATCGAAAAGTTGAAAATCGATACGTCTAAAAAGTGGAAAAAAAGACAAATTAAAAATCAAATGTTGGACACATAAAAAAAATGAAAAATCTAAAATTTAAAAATTAAAAACTTTGAAAAATAGAGAAATCGAAGAACTGAAAAATCAAAATTCTAATAATCGAAATATCTAAAATTTAACAGAACGAAGAATTGAAGAATCGAAAAAATATCGGGAAATAATCAAAACATGAAAAAAATTAAAAAAATTGAGTTCAATATTTAGAGTCGAAAAATTTTGCAAAAATAAAAAATAAAAAATCACAAATTTAACAGTCGAAAAATCGAAATATTGAAAAATCTAAACTGAAAAATTAAAATGCCAAAAATTTTAAAACTGCAAAATCAAAAATCGGAAAATTTTAAAGTAAAAGTTTGATAAATCGAAATATCCACAAATCGAAACATTAAAGAAATTAAAAAACCCAAAATGTTAAAATTTTCATAAATTGAAAAATAGAAAAACCGAAGAACGGAAAAATCCAAAAATTAAGGAATCCAAATATCTAAAATTTATAAAAATCGAAAAATTGAGGAATCGATAAATTAACACATCGAGAAATAATCAAAACATGAAAAAATTGAAAAATTGAAAAGTTTAATATTTAAAAATCGAAACAATATGAAAAACCGAAAAAATCAAAAATCAAAAATCTAACAATCGAAAAATCCAAATATTGAAAAACCCAAAACTGAAAATGCGAAAAACCGTAAATTTTAAAAACTGGTAAAAACTGGCAAACAATCTAAAAGTAAAGGTTCGATAAATCGAAATATCCACAAATCGAAACATCAAAAAAGTGAAAAATTTAAATTTAAATATTCAAAAAATCGAAAAATTCAGAACAGTGAAAAATCGAAAAGTCGAAAAAACAAAAAATTGAAAAATCGAAACATCAAAAATTCCAGAATTGAAAAATCGAAAAGCCAAAAATCTTAAAAATCGAAAAGTTGAAAAACCAAAATATCTAAAACATGGGAAATCGAGGAATCGAAAATCAAGAATTCAAAACATCAAAAAAGTGAAAAATCAAAAAATTCAAAACATCGCAAATATTGAAAAATTGAAAAGTCTAATATATAAAAAATCAAAAATGTTGCAACACCGAAAAAATAAATCGAAAATCTAACAATCGCAAAATCGAAATACTGAAAAAGTCAAAACTGAAGAATCGAAAATTTTAAAAAATGAAAAACCGAAAAATCTTAAAGTGAAACTTCGATAAACCGAAATATCCACAAATCGAAACATCAAAAAAGAGAATCGAAGAACTGAAAACTCGAAAAATCCAGAAATATTTGTACATCTAAAATTCAAACAATCGTAAAATTTAAAAAAATCGGAAAAACAAAAAAATATAATAATCGAAAAAAAATTGAAAAAACGGAAAACCAAAAACTTTAAACAGAGAATAGTTGAAAACCCGAAAAATTTAAAAAGTGGGAAATCGAAATATCGAAAATCAAGGGTTTAAAACATCGATAAAATGAAAAATCTAAAATTTAAAAATTAAAAACTTTGAAAAATCTAATAATCGAAATAACTAAAATTTAACAACACCAAAAATTCAATAACCGAAAAAACATGAAATAATTGAAAAATTGGCGTCTAATATTTAAAAAATTGAAAAATTTTGTAAACCGAAAAAATCAAAAATCAAAAATCCAACAGTCGAAAAATTGAAATATTGAAAAATCCAAACTGAAAAATCGAAAAACTGAAAAATCTGAAAATAAATGTTGTATAAATCGAAATATCCACAAATTGAAACATCAAAAATGTGAAAAATCTAAAATTGAAAATTCAAAAAATTGAAAAATAAAAAAATTGATCTGAAAAATCAAACAATCCAGAAATCGAAATATATAAAATTTAAAAAATTGGAAAATTTTGAAAAATCGGAAGACTAAAAAATCGAAAAACCGAAAAAAAAACAAAAAATTCAAAAATCGTAATATTGAAAATTCCAAAGTTGAATAATCGAAAAACCAAGAACTTTGAAAAACGAAAAGTTGAAAATCGATGAATCTAAAAAGTGGAAAAAAGACAAATTAAAAATCAAACGTTGAACACAAAAAAAAGTAAAAATCTAAAATTTAAAAATTAAAAACTTTGAAAAATAGAGAAATCGAAGAACTGAAAAATGAAAATTCGAATAATCGAAATGTCTAAAATTTAAAAGAACGAAGAATTGAAGAATCGAAAAAATATCGGGAAATAATCAAAACATGAAAAAAATTGAAAAATTTGAGTTCAATATTTAGAGACGAAAAATTTTGAAAAAATAAAAAATCAAAAATCAAAAATCTAACAGTCGAAAAATCGAAATATTGAAAAATCTAAACTGAAAAATTAAAATGCCAAAAATTTTAAAACTGAAAAATGAAAAATCGAAAAACTTAAAAGTAAAAGTTTGATAAATCGAAATATCCACAAACTGAAACATTAAAAAAATTAAAAAACCCAAAATGTTAAAATTTTCATAAATTGAAAAATAGAAAAACCGAAGAACGGAAAAATCCAAAAATTAAGGAATCGAAATATCTAAAATTTATAAAAATCGAAAAATTGAGGAATCGATAAATTAACACATCGAAAAATAATCAAAACATGAAAGAATTGAAAAATTGAAAAGTTTAATATTCAAAAACCGAAACATTTTGAAAAACCGAAAAAATCAATAATCAAAAATCTAACAGTCGAAAAATCCAAATATTGAAAAATCCAAAACTGAAAATTCGAAAAACCGTAAATTTTAAAAACTGGTAGAAACTGGCAAACAATCTAAAAGTAAAAGTTCGATAAATCGAAATATCCACAAATCGAAACATCAAAAAAGTGAAAAATCGAAAATTTAAATATTCAAAAAATCGAAAAATTTAAAAAGTGGGAAATCGAAATATCGAAAATCAAGGTTTTAAAACATCGATAAAATGAAAAATCTAAAATTTAAAAATTAAAAACTTTGAAAAATCTAATAATCGAAATAACTAAAATTTAACAAAACCAAAAATTCAATAATCGAAAAACATGAAAAAATTGAAAAATTGACGTCTAATATTTAAAAAATTGAAAAATTTTGAAAACCGAAAAAATCAAAAATCAAAAATCCAACAGTCGAAAAATTGAAATATTGAAAAATCCAAACTGAAAAATCGAAAAACTGAACAATCTGAAAATAGATGTTGTATAAATCGAAATATCCACAAATTGAAACATCAAAAATGTGAAAAATCTAAAATTGAAAATTCAAAATATTGAAAAATAAAAAAATTGAAGAACTGAAAAATCAAAAAATCCAGAAATCGAAATATATAAAATTTAAAAAATTGGAAAATTTTGAAAAATCGGAAGACTAAAAAATCGAAAAAACGAAAAAAAACAAAAAATTCAAAAATCGAAATATTGAAAATTCCAAAGTTGAAAAATCGAAAAACCAAGAACTTTGAAAATCGATAAATCTAAAAAGTGGAAAAAAGACAAATTAAAAATCAAATGTTGGACACAAAAAAAATGAAAAATCTAAAATTTAAAAATTAAAAACTTTGAAAAATAGAGAAATCGAAGAACTGAAAAATCAAAATTCGAATAATCGAAATTTCTAAAATTTAAAAGCACGAAGAATTGAAGAATCGAAAAAATATCAGGAAATAATCAAAACAAGAAAAAAATTGAAAAATTTGAGTTCAATATTTAGAGTCGAAAAATTTTGAAAAAATAAAAAATCAAAAATCTAACAGTCGAAAAATCGAAATATTGAAAAATCTAAACTGAAAAATTAAAATACCAAAAATTTTAAAACTGAAAAATGAAAAATCGAAAATATCCACAAATTGAAACATTAAAAAAATTAAAAAACCCAAAATGTTAAAATTTTCATAAATTGAAAAATAGAAAAACCGAAGAACGGAAAAATCCAAAAATTAAGGAATCGAAATATCTAAAATTTATAAAAATCGAAAAATTGAGGAATCGACAAATTAACACATCGAGAAATAATCAAAACATGAAAAAATTGAAAAGTTTAATATTTAAAAACCGAAACATTTTGAAAAACCGAAAAAAGCAAATCAAAAATCTAACAATCGAAAAATCCAAAACTGAAAATTCAAAAAACCGTACATTTTAAAAACTAGTAAAAACTGGCAAACAATCTAAAAGAAAAGTTCGATAAATCAAAATATCCACAAATCGAAACATCAAAAAAGTGAAAAATCTAAAATTTAAATGTTCAAAAAATCGAAAAATGCAGAAATCAAAATATCTAAAATTTACAAAATCCAATTTTTTTTTAAATCATAACAGTGAAAAATCGAAAAATCGAAAAGTCGAAAAAACAAAAAATTGAAAAATCGAAACATCAAAAATTCCAGAATTGAAAAATCGAAAAACCAAAAAATTTCAACTTGCCCACAATATGAAAGATTATAACGGTCGGTTATGCAACACACAACGCAGTCACCTAGGTGCACGAACCTCTCGCCTCAAACTTGACAACCCCATCTTGTCGAAATGACATTCAACCATTTCAAATTCAAGTTTCTACCTTAAGTACACAAAATGGAGAGCACCGAAGAAACGAGAAGTTACGGCTCTGAGGGTCACTTGTCGCGGAAGTCGTCGGAGAGTCCCCACCCGTCGATCCGCTCGTCCAACACCAGTAAAAAAATCAGGACTTCTCGGAGTTCCGTGAGCGTCCAGCGCAGCTCGCTCATCCCGCAGAAGGAGTCCGTGTACTCGGAGGGACCTTCAGACGAAATAACCGAACCCAAGAAACAAGAAAGTGAGATATTGTTTGAAACTTGTCAAAAATTGGGGTTTTAGGTGCGCTTGGGTGCGACTGCGCGCCTGGGTTCTACAACAAGGTTTTGGGACCTACGGCGGACGAAACTATCCTGACGGGGCTGCAGACTCTTATAGATTTGTGTGGTAAGTTGAGGGTTTGTGGGGAGAGGGATGAGTCGGGGGAGGAGGAGCCGGAACGGGAGCAGGACCTACCAGAGAAGGACACCTCGACTAAAGTAAGACAATTACAACCAATCAATTTTGGAAATAACCACAGTTCGTAGTTAAGAGCGTCCAAAATCCAAACGGAACAAAGCGTAAGTCTGGCGAAATTTTAAACCATGATGGTACCGATTTCGGTTTTAGTTAGCAGCTGCCAAGAGCCAGACTGAGCGCAACGTAAGTCACCTTCAAACTTTTTAAAGACACAGTTTTCTTTTTTAGATAAAAACCTCCAAAAGCCAAACTGATCACTCTGTAAGTTGTTTCTAGTGTTTTTTTTTGCGACGATTTTGTTGTTGTAGATGGTTTCGGCAGGCTTTCAAGTCAATCCAAGTGTAAGTACCTTGAAGCCACCAACTCTTGGTTAAGTTGTTTTTTAGGTGAAATCGATAGATGTTCAAACTGCTCCTTACCCACAGGTCACCCTCTTTCGATACTATTGTAACTTATTATAGTCACCATTGTGTTACAGATGGTGTCTGAAATTCTACAAACCATTGGGTTGACACCAGAGGTAAAATAACCCGTTTGTGTGTTGATTTAGTAACCACTTTGTTCCAGATGGTTTCAAAGGTTTTGCAGACGTCATTCGTAAGTTTCTGGTTATAATTGACTTTGTTAGTCACACCCATCGTTCCAGGTAGACATGACCGAGCCCCAGAAAGCCAGCGTAAGTCACCCCCACTATTTCCCAAAACACTTAACCTCCTCTCCTAGCTAATGTCAAACGCCATGCAAACCAGCATCCGCGAAGTAAGTCAAAATTTTTCCCAACCATTTTGTACAACCATCGCTCTAGGTAAAGTCAGGCCAAGTTCAAACCAGCTCCAGTCTCCTACCAACCATCCAGGAACAAACCGAACCACCTCCTCACAGAGACTCCAAAACCCAATCCGACGTGGTTCGTTCCGTCAGCAAGCAAACCCTAACCGAGAAAAGCAAAAGCTCCACCACCATTCTGGAACCACGACCGGAGAAAGTAAAACCTGAGCAACAAGTCAAAAGCGACGAACACAAATGCATTTCTCCCCCGGAACCACCCGACATCCACTGCAAATGCTGCAAGTGCTCGTCCTCCAGCAGCCTGCGACGAAGCTCCAAAAGCTCGGTCGACAAAGCCCCGTGTGTGTGCGGCAGCAAACCCTCCACCAAGTGCAAGTGCGAGTCTTCGCCGGAGCGCAGAAAGTGTAAGTAGGCGAGCTTTATAACTCTCATGATCTGGGGTTCCAGCTGGAGAGGGCGAACACGGAGATCAACGTAAGTTCGGAGTTTTCGCGTTAACTGTGCTGAATCTGGATTGTAGAAAGCCCGGTTGAGGTGAAGTACGCCATCACGAAAATCTCCAAGTTCAAGGAGTTTACGACGTTTGAGGTTATGAGGTCCACGAGGAACCAGCCGAGTAAGATGCCGAAGGGGATTGAGGGGGTTTTCGTGCTGAAGAAGAAGAACGGGGACTCGAATGGGGAGGTGCGGGTGAAGACGTCGAAGCGGGGGATTAACGGGTCGAAGAACGGGGGGAGTAGGAGCTCGAACGGGGGGAAGCGCCGGAGTTCGAAGGAGATTAACGGGGGTAATGGGAGTAACGCGGGTAATGGGGGGAGGAGCGGAGAGGTGAGGAGTCACAGCCAAGTGGAAGCTAACTAAATTCTGGAGAATTTTGAATAAAGTGAAAATTAAAAATTATGGAAAAAATATTGTCTATTAATGTCAGTCAACTTATTCACTCATGTTTTTTATTAATCATATGGAAGTTATCACCATAATATCATAATTTTTATCCACTTGAGTAAGACATTGAGTTTTTTTGTAGATGCTTAGCATTCTCAGCTGTTATTATTATAAAGTGTTCGCTATTAACGACTTAGTTATGCGTAATAATAAAAAAAATAATTTACTGACCTTCCGATTGTCCCTATTTCTTAATAAGTGGAAAGTCGGTTGGGCGTTTTCGGCGCCCTTTTATGTCGGGTTTTGCATGAGGCGCTCGTAAAATCTCGGCCGTGTTTATGTAAATAAAAACGGATTAAGTAATGTTGTGACATGGAAGGACGGGGGCGTGGGTGGGGCGGCTCGTGGGCAAAACGGCGTTTGACGAGACCCGAGTGGAATTTACGGCGGCGAAATGGCACGTGACTCGTGCCCTAAGAGTCATGCATGGAACTTTTCCGATGGACGGTGGTTTTTAATTTTCTGCTTGAGTGGACGCGTTGGGAAGGACGGAGTTAATAATGTTCTGTAACGATTTAATTGATTTTATCGAATGGATTCGTGGCGGAGCGGATTGTTGGGATTCTTGGGAGTGCGGGAATTTAAGGTCACGAAAAATGTATGCTAAAGGGAAAAACTGGGAGCAACGCATAAATTAATTTTCACTGAGTTCCAGTTCAGTGTGGTTGTAATAGTTTTACAATTTTTACGAATGTGGATTAAGTCAGGTCAAATTCAGATCAGGTTAAGTCAGGGTCAGGTCAAGCTGGGTCAGGTCAGATCACGTTAACTTAGGTTAAGTCAGGGCAAGTCACATCAAGCCAAACTAGGTCAGGTCAGGTCATGCCATGTCAAGTGAAGTCAGGCCAAGTGAGACCATATTATGCCAGATCAGATCAAGTCTGGAAAGGCTGGATCAAGTCTGGCCAGGCTGGATCAAGTCTGGCCAGGCTGGATCAACTCTGACCAGGCTGGATCAAGTCAAGTCGAATAAGTTTATTTGAAATTTGGGTTCGAGTTTAAAAAAAAAATAGAAAAATTGACAAGTTTAATACTTATTTAAAATATCGAAAAATTTTGAAAAATGGAATAAATAAAAAATCAAAAAATCTAACAGTTGGAAAATCGAAATACTGAAAAATCCAAAACAGAAAAATCGAAAAACCAAAAGCTTTAAAAACTGAAAAATGAAAAAAAAACGAAAAATCTAAAAGTAAAAGTTCGATAAATCTAAACATCAAAAAAGTGAAAAATTCAAAATTTAAAAATCAAAAAAATTGAAAAACAGAATAATCGAAGACCTGAAAAATCGAAAAATCCAGAAATCGAAATATCTAAAATTTAAAAAATCAAAAATTTTTAAAAATCGGAAAAGTAAAAAATCTAAAAATTGAAAAAAAATGAAAAATCAGGATATTAAAAATTCCAGAATTGAAATATCGAAAAACCAAAAATCTTAAAAATCGAAAAGTTGAAAACTCGAAAAATCTAAAAAATGGGAAGTCGAAGAATCGAAAATCAAGAATTCAAAACTCTAATCTTACAAGTTCTAATAATTAAAAAATTGATAAATTTTTAAAAACCAAAAAAATTAAAAATCAAAAATCTAACAGTCGAAAACTCGAAATATTGAAAAATCCAACCCTGAAAAATAGAAAAACCAAAAATTTTATACACTGAAAAATGAAAAACTAAAATCTAAAAGTAAAAGTTCGATAAATCGAAACATCCACAAATCCAAACATGGAAAAAGTGATAAATCTAAACTTTGGAAATTAAAAAAATTGAAGAACTGAAAAATCGAAGAATCCCGAAATCGAAATATCTAAAATTTTGAAACCGAAAAAAATAGAAAAATCGAAACATTGAATCATCCAACATTGAAAAATCTAAAAACTTTAAAAACCGAAAAATATGAAAATTGGGAAGTCGAAAAATCGAAAATCAAATGTTTAATACATCAAAAAAGTTAAAAATCAAAAATTTAAAAATTCAAAATATTGAAAAATCACAAATCGAATAATCGAAATATCTAAAATTTAAAAAAACGAAAAAACATTGGGAAATAATCAAAACATGAAAATTGAAAGTAGAGTCCAATATTTAAAAGATCGAAAAATTTTGAAAACCGAAAAAAATCAACAAATCCAACAGTCGAAAATTCGAAATACATATTGAAAAATCTGAATTGAAAATTCGAAAAACCAAGAATTTTAAAAACTGAAAAATGAAAAATTGAAAAATCTGAAAGTAAAAGTTTTATAAATCGAAATATCCACAAATCGAAACATCAAATAAGTGAAAAATCTAAAATTGGAAAATTCAAAAAATTAAAAAATAGAAAAATTGAAGGACTAAAAAATCGAAAAATCCAGAAATGTAAATATATAACATTTAAAAAATCATAAAATTTTAAAAATCGAAAAATTTAAAAAGTGGGAACTCGAGAAATCATAATCAAGTGTTGAATAAATTCAAAAAAGGGGAAAATGTAAAACTTAAAAATTCAAAACATTGAAAGATGGAGAAAACGAAAAATTGAAAAATCAAAAATGGAGGAATCAAAAAAACATCGAAAAATAATCAAAACATGAAAAAATTGAAAAATGAAGGTCCAATATTTAAAATCGAAAAATTTTGAAAACCAAAAAAATCAAAAAATTTAAAAATCCAACAGTCGAAAAATCGAAATATTGAAAAATCCAAAACTGAAGAATCATAAAACCAAAAATTTTAAAAACTGAAAAAGAAAAAACTGAAAAATTTAAAAATAAAAGTTTAATAAAAAAATTTAAAAACCCAAAATTTAAAAACTGAAAAATAGAAAAATTGAAGAACGGAAAAATAAAAATCGAAAAATTGAGGAATCGAAAAATTAACACATCGAGAAATAATCAAAACATGAAAAAATTGAAAAATTGAAAAGTCTAATATTTAAAAAAAGGAAAAATTTTGAAAACGGAGAAAATAAAAAATCAAAAATCTAACAGTCGGAAACTCGAAATATCGAAAAATCCAAAACATGAAAATCAAAAGAGAAAAACTTCAAAAACTGAAAAATTTTGAAAAACCGAAATAATAAAAAATCAAGAATCTAAGAATCGAAAATTCTAAATATTGAAAAATTCAAAACTGAAAAATCAAAAACCAAAAACTGGCGAAAAATCTAAAAGTAAAAGTTCGATAAATCGAAATATCCACAAATCGAAACGTCAAAAAAGTGAAAAATCTAAAATTTAAATATTGAAAAAATTGAAAAACAGAAAAATAGAAAAATGCAGAAATCGAAATATCTCAAATTTAAAAAAATCGAACAATTTTGAAAAATCGGAACAGCAAAAAATCAAAAAATCGAAAAGTCGAAAAAAAAAACAAAAATGTGAAAAATCGAAATATCATAAATTCCGGAATTGAAAAATCGAAGACCAAAAATCTTAGAAATTCGAAAAGTTGAAAAACTAAAATATCTTAAAAATGGGGAGTCGAGGATCGAAAATCAAGAATTTAAAACATCAAAAAAGTGAAAAATCTAAACATTCAAAACACCGAAAATATTGAAAAATTTTAAAGTCTAATATGTATTTAAAAATCGAAAAATTTTTTAAAACCGAAGAAACAAATCAAAAATCTAACAATCGTAAAATCGAAATACTGAAGAATCGAAAAACCAAAAATTTTAAAAATTGAAAAATGAAAAACCGAAAAATCTAAAAGTGAAAGTTCGATAAATCGAAATATCGACAAATCGTAACATCAAAAAAGTGAAAAATCTAGAATTTGATAATTCAAAAAATTGAAAAATAGAAAATTCTAAGTACTGAAAACTCGAAAAATCCAGAAATAGAAATATCTAAAATTCAAAAAATCGTAAAATTTTAAAAAATTGGAAAAATAAAAAAAATAATCAAAAAAAAAATTGAAAAATCGAAATATTCAACTACCAAAATTGAAAAATCGAAAAACCAAAAACTCAATAAATCGAAAAGTTGAAAAACCGAAAATTCTAAAAAGTGGACAGTCGAAAAATCGAAAATCAAGTGTTCAAAAGATCAAATAAATGAAAAATCTAAAATTTAAAATTTCCAAATTTTGAAAAATAGAAAAATCGAAGAACTGAAAAATCAAAAAATCCAGAAATCAAAATATGTTTCTAAAATTTAAAAAATTGAAAAATCGAAATATTGAAAATTCCAGAATTGCAAAATCGAAAAACCAAAAATCTTTAAAATCGAAAAGTTGATAAACCGAAAAATCCAAAAAGTGGAAAGTCGCAAAAAAAAACGGTGTCCCAAAAACAGGTTACCAAGAATTTTCAAAAAGTAAAACACCAAAGTCCCCCAAAATTGTATTAAATAATTTACAAAAAATCTCTATTTATCTTATAAATTACTAGCCCCACCCACCCACCCTCTATTTTCTTGGGTGGAATGTGATTTGCCAAAATCAGTTTTATTTTATCAAATACTAGCCCCGCCCACCCACCCTCTATTTTTTTGGAGGACATGTGATTTGCCAAAATCAGTCTTATCTTAGCAAATACCTAGCTAAGATATGACTGATTTTGGCATATGACATACCCTCTAAGAAAAGAGAGGGTGGGTGGGTGGAGCTAGTACCCTAGTAAGATAATACTGAATTTGGCAAATGAAATATCCTCTAAAAAAAGAGAGGGCGGGTGGGCGGGGCTAATACCTGTTTAAATAAGACCAATTTTGGCAGATGGCATTCCCTGCAAGAAAAGTGAGGGTGGGTGGGCGGGGCTAATATTGATAAGATAAGACTGATTTTAGCAAATGATGTATCCTCTAAGAAATTTAATTAAATTATTATAAGAAAAGACACTAGAGGCTCCCCAAAGCACTTTCAAATTCTTTCCAAACAGGAATACCTAGAACCTCAAGATTGTTTTAAATTAAAAAAAAAACAGGATCCCAAAATTAACTCAAAAAAGGTCAGGTCAGAATTTTCCAAAAATAGAACACCAATGTCCCCCAAAATTGTTTTAAATAATTTACAAAAAATCTCTATTTATCTTATCAATTATCGTGAAAAATCTAAAATTTGATAATTCAAAAAATTGAAAAATAGGAAAATAGAATTACCTACTGAAAAAGTGAAAAATCCAGAAATCGAAATATCTAAAATTTAAAAAATCGAAAAATTTTGAACAATCGAAAAAGTAAAAATCGAAAAAAGAAACAAAAAATTCTAAAATCGAAATATTGTAAATTCCAAACTTAAAAAACCAAAAAGTCCAAAATTTTAGATCTCGAAAAGTTGAAAAACCGAAAAATGTAAAAAGTGGGAAATTGAAAAATCAAAAATCAAATGAAGAAAACATCAAAAAAGTGAAAAATCTACAATTTAAAAATTCAAAACTTTGAAAAATAGGGAAATCGAAGAACTGAAAAATGACATATCGAATAATCGAAATATCTAAAATTAAAAAAAAAAAAAATGATGAATCGAAACAGCATCGGGCAATAATCAAATCGAGTCTAATATTTAAAAAATCGAAAAATTTTGAAAAAACGGGAAACCAAAAATTGTAAAAATTTAAAAAGTGGGAAGTCGAAAAATCGAAAACCAAGAATTCAAAACATCAAGAAAGCGAAAAATCAAAAATTTTTAAAAATCGAAAAATATTAAAAAATCGAAACGGTAAATCAATTTAATTTTAAGTTTATCCTAAGCACGATAAATCGTTGATCAAAATTTATCCGTTTACCCCCTCCCAAAAAATGATGACGTCACCTCAAAATTATGCCGAACAAATTCCATCTAATATAAGCAAAATTGTGACTTAATCATTCATAGTTTTTATAACTGCTTAATACACGGTGACTCGAAATGTTTTTCCTTGGAATTTTATGACTAGATCAATTTTTTAATAAAACCTGAACGTGCTCGCTGCGCTCACATTCTAGACGTGGGGATTTTCCGACTTTAGAACTCACAAACCTTTTCAAGATTCACTTTCTCCAGACGCTAAAAAATGTCTCATTAATAATAATAATTTGGCTTTCCAGGAAACTGACGAATAATTTTCAATCAATACCTAAAAATGGTGCTCGCTGCACTCGCATTCTGAATGTTTTTTTTTTTAATTAATTTGATATCAGAAAAACATTTACGAATGAATGGTCACCAAAACTAATTAGTTTTCCTATTATAATAATTAGTGAGATCTGCGGGTCAAGGTAATATGTATAGTTAGCAAAAAATCAAGTTGTAAAAGGCGAGCGTAGCGAACATGTTCAAAGTGTTTCAATCCACAGATATTAGTGAGTAACTGACCTGACCTGAACTGACCTGACAGACATCAGGTTACCGCTCTGAGTGTGACCAATTTTTTAATTTATTTTCCACAAAAAAGAGGCCTCGAAAATTTTCAGACCCCGGTCCTGCTCCGTTTCTTCTTTTCCATATTTATCTATCTCCGGTTTTACGTACTTGTTCAAAAGATATATGTATATGTATGAAGCAGATAATAATGCAAATACAGGTTTATTGAAGTCGCTGTTACTGGGAAAATTGAATCATCGAAGACTTCTCCGGATTTTTCCGTTTCTAATATTTCCAAAAAATTGTTTCGTTTTTGTTGTGGACATTTTCATAATAAGATTGCCCTTTCCACAGATCCTTTTCGGGATTTCGGAAAACCAGCCCTTAAAGCCTCCATTCCGCGTTATCGTCCACGCAACCTCCTCATTTCCCTTTTCCCCACATCTCCATCGCACCAATTACGAACCTCTCGTACCTTGCCCTGGTGGGAGTTCAGGGCGCCGCTGTCGCACTCAACTCCTCAAATCAGTTTCCTCACAATCTGCAAGTAAAGCGCAACTGTGTGACCCGCACGCTCTCCGCCACGTGCTAGTCGATCCTGAGCTTTCGCCGCTGTCAAACCGCCCCAGCAGCCCCCAGCATGCGAGTGCAGTGAGCCGCCGCCGCCCGCCCAAGGTAACTCCCCCAATTCCAGGGAAACCACCGTTCTCCTTTAATTGTATAATCATCTAAATGTCAAAGTATTCAAGAGCAATTGTTGCAACAAATTGCCTGATTAAATAATGCATGCGTCGAGCGTCGGATCGACGTGACATCAACATCCTGGTATGGAGAGGTGATCGGATTCACCCATCAAGCCCACCAGACCCATCCGGACTTTTCCGCGCGCAAAGGCGGCTAATCCCGCGAGGGTGTGCATTAAAATTAATTAAATTGTGCAAATCGGTGGTCTGGTTTCCGAGAAGTTTCGAGAGCGGTTCAAGGGTACGTGGTTTTGGGTGGAGGTGGGCGCGATGGGTCGGATTCGGGGGCAGAAATTCCGTCATTTATTTACATGAGGAAGTGAGGCGTTCGAGAAATGTACTCAGTAATTAAAATTGTTGTGGTTTTGCTGGTACAGATGGAAATTTAGATTCGTTTAAGACCAGGCGGTTTTAAGTGCTAAATCTGTTTGTCGGTGGAGCAGAACCGTCAAAAGTTACACTGCTCTTGAAAGAGCAAAACGTTTTTATGGGTTTTTTGTACGAGCCTACGTAGATACATATTTTATTCAAATCGCGCTTATTAAACATATGTGTAACAGATAACTGATGAATGTTTTATTAATTTTATTTATTAGCCAGTTATACAACTGGAGAAATTCGTACTTGAATTGAAAAAATCCAAAAAATCGCTGCTGACGTCACGCGACATCAAACCAATTCGGGAAGTAAGACGCAAATTCTAAAAAAGACACCACTTAACGAGATTTTAAATTAAAAACCGCTATATCTGGCGGAATTTTGTAAATAAGCGACCAAAAGCGACTAAAAATCGGAAGCAACTATTAATTACAGTTTTACAGCGTGTTTACGAGTCTGAAAACTTCCATTTTTGGATTTAGTGCAGTTGCACCCGAACCACATCAAACTAGACGTATTTATATTTTAGATGTCAAAGAAATCGGTTCGATAGTTTTGATTTTTCAGACAAACGGAAATGGGCGGTTTCGTTTTCAACGAACTGTGAGACCATAACTCGATTACATAATTTCCGCTTTTAAAATTAAAAAAAAATAAATAAAACGACTAATGAACGCAAATTTAATTATTGGATGATTATTTTAATTGCTGACAATTGTAGAAAATAACAGGTTTCTGCGGTCATGCCTGGCAAAGCTTTTAATTTGAAGTGCGGTTATGTGTTCCATTCTTGTAAATTTTTGAATTTTTTTCCAAAATTTTCCCAAGACTTTCAACATTTATTCCTATGTTTGACGACAATGGCGCACTCCATTTTCCCGAAAATTATTATTACTATTATTATTATTAAACTACAAAATTTTTCGATATGACAATGTTCATTTTTGATTTTTCAATTTTACTGTTTTTCCATTTTTTTTTTTGAAAAGTTGAAAAATTGAAAAATTAAAAATCGAACAATTGAAAAACGTAAAAATTTGTAAATGAAAAAGTGACAAATTTTAAAAATTATTAGTACATATTTAAAAGAAAACTACAAAATTGTATGTTTTTTGGCGTTTGGAAAGCGGCAGAATGCGAAAATGTGAATTTCCCGTGATTATCGTCGGGATTGCAATATTTATGAAGTTTATTTCCAAACTACGAAAGCGAATACTTTGGAAATAAGCTTTGTCGTATAATTGTCCATATACTACATATATTTTTCAAAAATTTTTAATTTTGAAGTATTGATTTTTTTTTCATGTTCCCGATTTTTTAGTTTTCATTTTGTCGATTTTATATCACAATTTTTGGTGTTTCGTTTCCTTTATTTTTTCAATGAACCTTTCGATTTTACAATTTTTCCATTATTGATATTTTCAAACTTTGATTTTCAATTCCTCAATTTTGCATTTTTAAAATTTTCAATTTTGAACTTTTTGGATTTCTTCAATTATAAATATTTAGATTTAACAATACACATTTCGTTTTTTCGATTCTACACTTTTCGATTTTTAAGTTTCCCAATTTTTAATTTTTGGATTTTTCAATTTTCGCTTCTTCAAAATTTTTCTTGATTTCCATTTTTTGGATTTTTCAAAGTTTTCGTTTTGTACCTTTTCGTTTTTCATTTGGTGTTTCAATTTTGCAGTTTTTCCATTTTTTTTTTATTCAAAAAATGGAAAAATTGAAAAACCGAAAATCGAAAATAGAAAAGTTTTAAAATCCAATAATTGAAAAAAGGAAAAATTTTCAAATGAATAAGAGAAAAATGTTTATTACATATTACCCTACATATTTAAAATGAAAACTAGAAAACTATGCTTTTTGAGGTTTGCAAGCTGTAGAATGCGAAAATGTAGATTTCCCATAATTATCTGCATCCAAATTCTTGAATTTTTCATTTTTCAATTTCTCAGTTACTCAGTTTTCCATTTGTCAATTTTTCAAATTCTTGATTTTTATTTTTCATTTTCCCGATTTTTTTCATTTTCATTTTCTCCATTTTATATAGCAATTTTTCGTTTTTTCATTTGCTTTATTTTTTCCATGTCCCTTTCGATTTTATATTTTTTCGTTTATTCAATTTTTCAAATTTTCAATCTTTGATTTTTCAATTTCTCAATTTTCCATTTTTTAAATTTTTCAGTTCTGCAATTTTTGAATTTCCCATTATCCGGTTTTCCGATTTCTTTAATATTAAATATTTCGATTTAACAACACATATTTCGTTTTTCGGTTTTGAATTTTTCGATTTTTATTTCCCAGTTTTTAGTCTTTCGATTTTTCAATTTTCGTTTCCTCAATTTTTCAAGTTCTTGATTTAATATTATTTTTCATTTTTCGGATTGTTTAATTTCTATTTTCTCGTTTTAATCATTTTTCTTTATTCAATTTTTTTAATTTTCAATCTTTGATTTTTCAATTCCTCGATTTTCTATTTTAAAATTTTTCAATTTTGCAATTTTGGATTTCCAATTATCCGATTTTTCGATCTCTGTAATTTTCAATATTTCGTTTTCTCGGTTTTTCAACTTTCGTTTTTCATTTTCAATGTTCATTTTTGATTTTTCAATTTTACTAACTTTCCATTTTTTTTCGAAAAGTTGAAAAATTGAAAAATTAAAAATCGAACAATTGAAAAACGTAATAAATTTTTAAATGAAAAAGTGACAAATTTTAAAAATTATTAGTACATATTTAAAAGAAAACTACAAAATTTTATGCTTTTTGGCGTTTGGAAGCCGCAGAATGCGAAAACGTGAATTTCCCATTATTGTGAGATTATTAGTATGAGAAAATGCCAACGTTATTTACGAAACGTGTCAATATTTTTTTAAAAAATTTTTTGATTTTTCAATTTCTCGACCTCATTTTTTCAATATTCCTTTCGATTTTATAATTTCTCCTTTATTCATTTCTACAAATTTTCGATTTTTGATTTTTTAATTCCTCGATTTTCAATTTTTCAATTTTGCAATTTTTGGATTTGCCATTATCTGATTTTCCGATTTCTTTAATTTTAAATATTTCGTATATCCTTTTTTCGATTGTGCACTTTTCACTTTAAGTTTTCCAATTTTTAATCTTTCGATTTTCCAATTTTCCTTTTTTCAATTTTTAGATTTTTCAAAGTTTTCGTTTTTTGATGTTGGTGTTTCAGTTTTACATTTATGCAGTTTTTACATTTTTTTATTGAAAGAATTGAAAAATTTAAAAATCGAAAAATAGAAAAGTTTTAGAATCCAGTCATTGAAAAATGGAAAAATTTTTAAATGAAAAAGTGAAAATATTTTATTATTACATACTCTATCTAAAATGAAAACTAGAAAACTTTATGCTTTTTGGCTTTGGCAAGCCGTAGAATGCGAAAATGTAGATTTTTCATTTTTCGATTTCTCAGTTTCTCAGTTTTTCATTTTTATGTTTTTCAATTTTCGTTTCCTCAATTTTTCAAGTTCTTGAATTTTATTTTTCATTTTCCCGATGTTTCAATTTTCATTTTTAATAGAAAAATTTGTATTATTACATATTTAAAATGAAAACTCGAAAACTTTATGCATTTTAGCTTTAGCAACGTGTCAATATTTTTTTCAAAATTTTTTCGATTTTTCAATTTCTCGACTTCCAAATTTTTCAATTTTTCACTTTTCGATTTCTCAGTTTGTCAATTTTTCAAGTTCTTCACTTTTATTTTTCATTTTCCTGATTTTTTAATTTTAATTTTCTCGATTTTATACAACAAGTTTTCGTTGTTTCATTTCTTGTATTTTTTTAATGTTCCCATCGATTTTATAATTTTTTTCTATTTTCCTTTTTTTGATTTAGCGGTTTTTTAAATTTCATTTTATCGGTATGATGTAACAATTTTTCGTTTTTTCATTTGCTTTATTTTTCAATGTTTCTTTAGATTTTATAATTTTTCCTTCATTCAATTTTCCAAAATTTTCAATCTGAGAATTTACAATTCCTCGATTTTTCATTTTTTTAAATTTTTCGGTTCTACAATTTTTGAATTTCCCATTATCCGGTTTTCCGATTTCTTTAATATTAAATATTTCGATTTAACAATACATATTTCGTTTTTCGGTTTTGAATTTTTCGATTTTTATTTCCTTTCGATTTTTCTATTTTCGTTTCCTCAATTTTTCAAGTTTTCATTTTTCGGATTGTTTAATTTTTATTTTCTAGATTTTATAATTTTTCTTTATTCAATTTTTTAAATTTTCAATCTCTGATTTTTCAATTCCTCGATTTTCCATTTTAAAATTTTCCAGTTTTACAATTTTTGGATTTTAGATTATCCGATTTTTCGCTTTCTTGAATCTTAAATATCTCGATTTAAAAATACATATGTATTTCAAAAAATTGAAAATTGGAAAACTGAAAATCAAAAAATTGAAAAGTTTTAAAATACAATAATTTAAAAATGGAAAAATTTTTAGATGAAAAAGTGAAAAATTTGTCGTATACGAGCCAATTTTTCAATTTTTTAATTTTTCGACTTCTAAA